TCGGGGGGACCCCAACTCCCTCATGCCTCTGGCTTCTGACCAGAAGAGATCGTGAGATCCTCCACTGCTCTGAATTTTAGAGAGAGTCAGCCTAAGAACTAGTATTTAGCTCAAACACCTCTTCCTAAAACGATACAGTTTTGACACAAAACATAGTACAAATAGGCTTCTTTCATTATTTTAAATGTATGAAAGTGTGCTCCCTCCCCCCCATTTTTTTTTCCCCCTTTTCCAATCTGAGTGTCTCTGTATTCTCTGACTTTCTTCATGCCACCTTCTGCTAGGTTTAGGAGCCCGTTAATACCTCTGTTTTTTTCCTGCTAAGACACATGTGTCCTAGAAAATCATCTTCCAGTCCTCTTTTTTGGTAAGTTTAACAAATTGATCTTCAAATCTGTCATATGAGGGCATAAATCCTTCAAACAACCTGTGCTTTTTTTTCAACAGCCTATTCAGGTTTAGAAAACATCTCTAAAATTCTGATATCAAAACCACACCTAACATTCTGCCATCAATATCACAGATGTTTCCAAAATTAAAATAATTAAAATAATCTTTCTACCCTCCTGGCTACTTCTAGGCCTAACTTCATCTGTGATGGGTAGGGTAAATGCACTAGCATTTTTGTAAACTCATTTTGAGATGCTTTTCTGTTACAACACTTAAACCTATTCCAAGTCACTATGTCTAGGATGCAGTCTCCTGCTCCTGTAGGTATGAGCTGTGTTCCCAACTCCTGTATATAAAATGTTGTGTTTGCTTAGATTTAAAAAAAAAAAAAAAAAAAAAAAAGCCAAAAGAAAACCTATCCTTCCTCAATTCTGCTGAGAAATAAGTTGTTGCACACGGTATGCCCGATTTCATTGCTTCTCCTGTACACACATGCACACCATCCTTTGAATTTACAGCACATTTGTGTTAGCATTTGTTACGTTCAAAACCTCTGGGGAAAAAAAAAAAAGCACATGTACTGGGCTTGATATAAAAACGTGCTCATTAGGAATGCTACATTCAGCAACAATCCCTCAGTACTTGCTGTTTTTATATATTAAACTAACTTCTCAATCCATTTAACACATCCTTTCCAACACCGCGTGCCAATTTCTTAGTGGGAACAGTATGTACAAAAGTCAACCTTTCCTGCAAAATCAGGGAGACTGATTTCATTTAATTTCCTTTCTTTAGTCATCTACTCTATAAATCCAGAACCAGCTTTTCCAGTACTGTTTCTAGACTAAAATCCCACCGATTGCCTGCAGTTATACAGGTCCTGCATGTGGTTTTTGCCCCCCCCCCCCCTTTTTTTTTTTTTTTAAATATTGGCACATAGCAGCACTCTTTAGGGCTGTGGCATTTCTCTTGCACTCCAACACTGACTTAAAATAAAAAAGCTAGCAGAGTTCTCAGCCTAGTTTTCCAGGCCTCCAATGGTTTGAAATATATTTTCAGACTATTTTTAACATGTTCTCTAATTACTAACAGATTGAAAGTTATTTATTATCCCTAGTGAAAAGAGTACTTCACTCAGCCCCCTCTAGAAGCAAGTATTCCTTGAAAAAACGTTTCCCTTTTCCACATCATTATTAGAAGTTCAGCCACCTCCGCTGAGAATAAACTAGTAATGTTCAGATAATATAAACCATATAAAAACTCCCATTTTACTCAACAACAAGCCTCATAGCTGAGCAGCAATGATATTTGTCCATGACCTTTAGTTTCTCTTTAATTTTCCTGCACTTCTTAACTACTTGCCATTTCGTCCTGTGTTACTGGATTTTGTTTTGACAGTGACACGGGACATACTTTTATTGCCTTTCTCCGTCTGGGTTTGTTTGTTTTTACATTTTCCACTTCGTTTTGGTCATGCATTCCTTTTGCTTTTCAGAATTACTTTTCCTGAATGGTCAAATATGAAATTTTACCGTTTGGAAATATCTTTTGGTTGCACTGAATGTGAGAAAATTATGGAGATTAGCCGTAGGCAACACAAATTTCTAGGTACATTCATCACTATAAGCTACCGTCAAGCTGCTCAAACCAAAATGACCTTGTACTGGCTGCAGTACATTTTATGCTAGAAAATTATCATTTGCAATTTCCAGGCTAATTATGTTTCACCATTTTCTGCATTTCATCTACAGCACAAGCTTCCCGTCCAACCATATTTTTTTTTCTTTAAATGCTTTTTATAGCCAAGTGCTCAAGAAGTAACTCGCCTCATTCTGCTGACATCAGGCTCCTGTCAGTATTACCCTCTTAAGTTTGTTAATTAGCACGCTGATTGATATGTATTCAAGAACCTTGTATTAATTAACTTTAGTGTAGGTACCAGTGTCTTTAACACTGCGTGCTGCCCTCCACCTCTTTCAGCCAGTCTATCCTTAAGCAAGCTGTAAGCACTGATTTTGCATTCCCATTTTATGAATTGCACCAAGAGGTTTCACTAATAGCAATTAAATGTCATTTTTCTCCATTAATGAGAATTTGCTGTTTATCTTGCTTATCAGTTGGTCTTATCACTGATATGAAACCAACTGCAAATCTTGTTTTCAATTCCGTTATCAAATGTTTAATTTGGTCCTAATGCATCAACTTTAAATTGCGTTTATCTACCTAAGACACTTTGCTTGGGCTGCCAGTTAAGCACTTTCCCCAGTGCAAAATACTGTGTCCATGCACAGGATCTGCCTTTCCATGGGACTCTGTCCCCTCGCCCTTCACAAACGAGCCTGCAGATTCACTCCAGCTGAAGCCAACAGCTACAGCCCCTCCATTTTTATTATGTTTTTTAATTTTCTTTTTTGTGATCTTCCTTTTCATCATGTCTTTGTCAACCTCAATTTCTTTTTCCTTAATAGCTTTGCTCATGATGCCATCAGCTTGTGTACCATTCAGAACTGCAAGCAGTATCAAAGACCTTATAGCTGTGGCTCCTAGATTTTCTGCTTAATCACTCCAAAAACCAAAAGGTGGGTCATCTATTACCCACCTTACTTGAATACATACAAATGTATTTACATGTCTGGTCATGGTGAATGTCTCCTGATTTTGAGAGCTTTCTTGGCAATGAAATATCAGTGATCATCTCCTGCATCCTACCTATTTTTCCTTTTCTTGTGGCATCACTTCCATTCTGATCAAAGATAGTGCATGCATCAATTTTTCCACCAAAGAAGATTTCATGAAAAAGGAACACGGCTTTGTGGTTTGACAACTGATTTTTTCTTTTGCCTTTCAACAATGAGTTTAGGGGCAGCAGGAAGAGCAAACAGCAACAGGGAGGAAACACAAAATAAACCAAAATTTTTCACGAGCTTTTTACCAGGTCTTAAAATTTTCCAGATTCTTAATTTCATGGACTTGATTCACTGACAGGCTAAGCTTTCAAATGCAGCTTAAGCCAACAGGAATTCCTTATTGTTGCTATAAAATACCATAAAAGTTTACACTCATTAAAAAAAAAGAAGAGGAAACTGAAGCCACTCCCTCAAATTTAAAAGATGATTCTGAAGTTTGTGCCTTCAACTCTCTATGTATGAAGTAAGCACAGAGATACCACCTTACCAATATACCAGTGTAGTATTTGAAGGTGTATCAGTGATCCCAAGAGAAATATCATGGCAAAACAAATAATTGTGTATAACAATTAACAGGATAAATGAATAGATGTGTAGGCAAAGAACAAAAGGCATAGTCCCAAGGACTGAAGAAGCTGTTAAAGCAAACCATTTATAGTTTGCCCTGTGTTATTAGTATTAAGAATAAAATCCAATAAATTCTCTAATTTCATTAGAGACTGTCGTAATACATCTGCAGAAGGCTTCTGGAACGTAGAGAACATGAATTTCAAACCCTTGGTGATCAACAAAATAACAATACTGTTAAATAATTTTAGTGTTTCGTAAGGATAGTCTTGTTCTAGGAGAAAACCAAGTACCTTAGCTCCGTTAGACCAACTTATTCTGAAACCCTGGTGACAATTCATCATCAACTCTCAGATCCAAAGTACTGGCTGCTGCCGTATCAGCTACCAGGGCACATCTCCTTAGAAGCAATGTATCAACCCACTGAGGTACAGGAAGCATATATTGGGTTAAATAATTATACAAATGGTTATGTAATTATGCACGTCACTTTTTTCTGATTCATTAAGAGGCGTAACAAAGAAGTCTTAAAACTTCTAGTGAAAAGTGTGCTGTTCCACCCATGGCACACCTTCATTCTCACAAATGGCTAACTGGTTTTGCTCAACACTGAAAAGAAGTGAAGCCCAAAACCTAGTCTGAAACATAATTACTTGGGACAGAAATCCCACTGGTTATCACCTTAGTAGCTACAAGGAAGTGAAAACAAGGTTATAATCAAAGGGCTGGTCAACATCCTGAACAAACGATGCTATCAGCCCAGCTTAGAGTTGTGATCACATAACAGTAACTTCAGATGTCAGTAGAGAGGTCACTGCAGTTAAGACTCCCAGGGGAGTCTAACAGAATTTGGCAGTATTTAGAGAAATCTGGGAAATTTTAGAGGAAGTCTGGGACTAACCAGCCCTCATACAGCCAGTCAAAACTAAGGTATGCAACAGAGAAGAACAGCAGCACAGCGTTACTCTAGCGGTGTCAGGATTACTACTCCTTTGCTCAAGTACCATCTACTTACATTCCAAATTTTAAAGGCAGTATCTGAATGTCTTTTACATATGAATATGTCGTGACTACTATCCCAAGAATGCTAGCCCAGGCATATACTCTACTGAGATTTTTGAAGACAATTTTAGATTTAATTAAGAGTGAATTTACTGTATCATTAAAAAGGAAATTATTACTGTTCTTTTTAGTGTTTTTTTTTTTTCCTTTTAAATTCAAAATATTTCTGCAAGTTAAAAAAGCCCCTTTAATTCAGTAAGATTTGGAAAAATAGCAAGTTCGTTTTTTTTTTTTTTTTTTTTAAACTGTGAAAAGTCTGCGCGTTAACTGATCTAGATTTGACTGGGTACTCACTCTGTCACACAGCTCTTCAAACGTGAAGTCTGCAATGGTTCCACATGCTTTATTCAGCCTCAGCTCTCTGCCTTGCACTTTTAGAATCCTTGGTCTAGTTACTATGGGAACATGAACAAAGACTCAATCTTCTCTGGATAATTACTATAAAATTCATCTCTTACAGATAGGAAATGCATAGCTTGATGAATAATAGCACATGATTCAACACATAAATTAGACAAAATGCTGATACAATGACTGCCACTTGAGTGTGGCATCAACCCATATACAGCAATGGAACTTATTAATTGGTCAGTGGAGATTGGGCATTGTGTTCTAAATGTATTCTCTTTCAAGAGAAATTAACTTACGTACAATCATTTTGTTTCTGAGCCAGCTCATCAAACAACTTATCCATGACAGCCTCCACATCAGCTTCACTTGTGCTACAGTGAAAAGAATAATAGAATATGAAATTAATAACACTTGAAGCCAACATCAAACAGCTGCCTGAGCCTGCTTAGCTTTTTGCCCATAAAAAAGAGAACAGGATGTTATGCTCTAAATACAAACATTAGATTTAGAATACACTTTAAAGTAGAGAATATTAACTCTCAGGTAGATGATTCTGCCTTATTTGCATACACTGAAAGACTTCTGTGTTTTGAGCCGTTTCCAGTAATGAGGCAATACAGGCAGAGCAGATCCATTAACACTATGTGTACACAATGAGAAAAAAGGCTTCTGGCTCTATCTTGCATGCAAAATAAGAGCAAATAGACAAGGCAAGGCAGTCAAGCACCTAAAGAAGTATCCTTTGAAATTTCTGAGGGGACTTTTGAATTAAATATTGGAGCGGCTTTCTAAAGAAAAAAAAAAAGTCAACTGATTGTATTAATCAAATTGTAAGCAGCTTCTAAAATTAAACAGATTCAAAATGCCAGCATCAGTAATTGTATCAGTTTTATTTTCCCCCTAGCCCACAAAATACTATTTAGGAAAAACTCAACCACGGACTGTGAAAATGTAAGATATCAGGTATAAAATACATGTACTCACAGATAAAGTTTATATTCAACTTATGGTACCATAAGAATTATAAATCAGTCCAGAGTGTTTTCTGTCACAATGGCTTACAGGGCTGATCTCTGTGTCTTTCATTCTTTGAGAAGATGGATATTTCTAGCTGAGTTCAGAAGTTGAGAACAGCAAATTAAAGCTAAGCTACGCAATAAACTAGAACTCAGACATCAGGTAATGCTTCAGTGAAGTTTGTACAACCCAATTTGGTTTGAAAAGTCTACCTTTGTGGATCATCGATGCAATCAAGTTATGTTGCTTCACACAGCTCTAGGCCTCCTCTAAATGACAAGTGATGATCAGCACCTTACGTAATTACCTTCCTCTTTATTAGGCCTTAATCACCTTAAAAATTTTAACAGTAGAACTGAAATAACTACTTTTTAACTCAAGATTAATGATAGGAAACAGAGGTTGCATTAGATAAAATACCTTCCAAAATATATGTGTGTCTCTTAACATTGATATTTCAGTGCTGCTTTCCTCTAAAAATTAAAAAATAAAATGAAAAGGCACAGACAACCCCAGAAGAAAAGCCATAAAGGAGGAAAAAAGAGTGCATGTGTGTCAGAGAGCATGCACCTGTGTACACATGTATCTATCAAAAAGTTTGATGTAAAGGCTGCAAGAAGAAACACCCAAGCATGATGTCGAGGTAGATATTTGCACCTAATTGCCAAGAAAGTTTGTTTTGAAAATAGACACCTGAGCCCAAGATCAAGGAAGTTGCTTTGATCAGGAATCTCGTAATTACGTTACACTGATTGCTTTCGGATGAGTATGAAACAGCTTTAAGCAATCCTTAGATGCAACCCTTATTTTACATGAAGAAAAGGCTACACAGATTGTTAAGCAACATGAGGATTTAAAAAAATGACAATGATTACTGTAACCATTAGTAGTGAAACATACAGATATTGAACAAGATGATTTTCTTTTAGGGGAGGTACTGTGAAATACATAAAAAAAATTTGAAACAAAATATTATCTAGTAGCTAGTAAATCAAAAACAACACTCACTAAGCCAGCTCTGTAGGGCTGAGAGCTTCAATGAACAAGTCTGAACAGAAGAAGGAATGCAATTCCCTCAGAGAAAGGAGTGACAATAAAGTAAGTTATCTTATTTCTATTGACAGCTACAGGATTCATCTTATTTTTTCACTGCTTCCTAATGAATTACATAATGAGTTCTAGAGGTAGTCAACAACTATCTAACGACAGAATATGTATCAAGTGAATGTCAGAGACTGGTAATATTTCTGTCCCGAGTTTTACAGCAGAACACTATGAAATAAATACTCAGGGTGCATACTGCTCCTGGGGCTTATTCACACATTCCTTCTCCTGTGATACGATGCTGTAGGTGCCACATTTCGCCTGTTACCTGCTAAAATCCACATATGCAGTCTTCCATTTCTTTAGAGCATGGAGAGTGAAGAAATACATGGTAAGGGCTCTCCAGAACTATCAAACTGAAGGCCACAAAGCGCAGCAAGCACGCTACACAGAGCCTGAAGCAAGGACAGCCAAGGAGACATCGGAGGAAGAGCCATGGTGACCAACTCTGAGATAACAGTGGCTACAAACCATATTTCGAAGATGTGACAGAAGTTAAAGACCTGCTGCAATTCTATTAAGCAGTACTGCTTCTTCCAGATGAAAAAGCACAACTTCCAGTTTTATTATGAAGTGATAGGGGCATACTTCATTCCAAATATCCATGACACAGATGAAAATACCGCCCCTTTCTTAATGCAAGCATGATTGTAAATCAATATTGTACATTGGATTGAAGGATACCATGGTTATAAACCTCATTTTAGGCTATTTTCTGCCTTGCTCAGGTTGTTACTGATTAAATAATACTGGAACTTAAGAGCAAGTATGAGACAGAAAAAACACATGCAATGCAAAGGTTTCAAAGAACTTATTAAAAAAGACAAGATGCTCCTATTAAGCTGATAGATGTTGCAACCATAAGCACAACTCTGAATGTATTCCTTAAATACATTTGCAAATACAGAATAAAGTGCTAAAGAATTTTAGTCATGATAAACAGAAACAACGTCAAAATAGGTGGTGTGTTTTGTTTTTTTTAATCCATAGCACTGGAAACACCCAACATTAAATGAATCCTTGTCATTGGATTTCTATAAATACTTAATTACTTAAATACAATAAGGATGTTCTTCTATTATAAGAGAATTGTGCAGTCTCTTACAAGAGGATATTCATTACTTTCTAACCATCTGTCACTTCAGTTCTCCAAACACCACACCTCCCCAAAAAATCTAATTAGTTTTTATTCAGTCACACATTATGAATGATGCTAGTGTGGATACTGAAAACGTAGTTTAATGAAGTTAATATCAAGGCATAATGGAAGGCGGTTTGCTGAACAAAATGGACCAGAAGGCAAAGAAAGGAAGAGTCACACCCTGCTAATTCTACCACACATTTTGCGTTTCCCATTGACTGGGAAATTATTGGCTAATAAGGAAAACGAGGGCAAATACCATATCATAGATCAACTTACAGGTAGTAAAGTTTTCCAGCAGCAGGAAGCACTCGTTTCCTGTAGTCTATTCCAGAATCAAGCTGGACTGTGCTGCAGTATTTCTACAGAGACAAGAAAAAAAAAGCTTTCCTCAAGCCAAAGCTGTATTTATTATCGTCTGCATTAGAGAGAAGGCGCACTGCTGTGATAAGCTATCAGCGTGAATATCACCTACAAAACAGATTCAAGTCCACAAAATTGAAGGCTCCTTTACATTTATTGAAGTAAAGAAAGAAGCTGAAAATTATTCACACAATCAAAGCAAAAAAAGTGACAATTTTCAAAAGTCCATCAGCTAGAAAATGAATACAGATTTGAGGAACAGTGAATGAAATGAGAGTGGGCATTACTCGTTCTCTCTGGGTAGTACTTTGTTGGGGAGCGGGAATTAGAAATAATTATTTTGGCATTAAAGAACATAAATTTAGAAAAATAGGAGCAATAAACATTTAAGATCCAAATTCTAGCAACAGAGACGACAAACTACAACTTTTTCAACTAAAATTAGTTATAATCTTTTCCTTCCATTAAGAATACAAAATTTATGAGTCAAACATCAAAAGATGTGAACCATGCCAAATCTTGCTACAAAATCAACTGAAATGGAAAGGGAAATAAATAAAGCTATCAAAAAGGTTTTGTTCTGGTTTTGTAATGTTTGAATTGATTCAGAAAAGAACTTTTTAAAAATTGAAACAAGACCTGTAAGTTTATGATATAGATGTCCCTGAATACTCACAACAATTGCTTCTGTTTGAAACATAAAAAACAAAAACAGAAACCAGCTGTACTAAACTAAAGGGTGGTGGGATTTTTTTGACTTTGTTTTGTTGTGTTTTAATTCAAGGCTTTGAAGTTGAACGAAATTCTCACTAACCCCAGAGTTATCAATATTTTACACCCTCTAGCAAAAGGAATCTCTCTGCTTCTCTGTTATTACTACTGCCAACATACACAACTGCTGGCTGTTATACAACCACAAGCAAAAGAAGCTGTAAAGGAAAGGGAGGAAAAGTTTAAATATTTCAGAAAATACACCTCTATCACCAATTTAATTAAAGCAACCCAAATTCTTTTTTGTAGGTAATTCAACATCAGAGTTCTTTGAGTTCAAGGTCTGTGAATTATTAGAGTGGATTGCTAGAATTCACTAAATTATTCTGCATCTTCACTGCACTGTGAACTGCCCATCTATTTTTAATATTCTCATTAGAGATTTCATATTCTGTGTCAAATTTTTTAAAACCTCCTTGAGGCTTTTCAAACATCAAAATTGGAAATGTCAAATCTCATTTACAGCAACTACATTGCAGAGACATTCTTACATTTTAGGAGAAGTATCAGTGATTTCAGTAACAATGTCCCTTTTAAATAATTGTATTGCGTAGGACTTATTGATTACAAATATCTGCAGGAGTAACTGTGATGATTCACCGCACTAATTTTTTGCCTTTGGCAATTGCTGAGGATTCTGTACTTATTTTAAACCTTCAACGGATCTGCAGAGATACACAGCTAGACGATGCTGAGAAAATCATCCTGAAAGCACAGAAACCCAGGAAAATCCATGTATTTTAATTCTGGTAAGTGAAAAAGCCATGCTAATCAAATCATTTTGTTGGGCTAAGGCTAGTGCAAACACGATAGCACCGGTGCTACAATATCATTATTACAATCTATTCCGTTTCTTTTGGTGAGAGCTTACAAAGCAAAAGAGTAAAAGCAGTAGAAAAAAAGTTCCAGAGGCATGTTATAACACACACAAAGAAGAGAAGATGTTTGTGTTTTGCTTCAGCATCAGTCTGGCAGCCAAGGCTAGGAACAAGATTGTTGAAATTTCACAGCAGAGCTGGCACACTTAGCTTTTCCTTGCCAGGCAGTGATGCTGGGCATCTTGCTGCCTAACACTTTGCTTTTCCAAAGTATTAGATTAACTAAAGTACTATTTTTTTCATATTATCAAGAATTAAATACTACTACAGAATATAGGATATGGGTGATTATTTAGAATAACTTTAGATACTCTGATATTTAGCAATGTTGGTTTAATTTAGCAATGCTGTTTAATCCTTTTTTTCTTCCTGGAAACAACAGACAGTATTTTTTGTATGAATTTAGCCTCGTCTCGTTGGCCTTCAAGGCAGGTTTTCAAACCGTACCACTCCTTCAGGGTGCTGTGCTGCACAGAGTGAAGAGTGAATGCAGAACACATCCTTAAGAGTGTTGCGTGATTTAGTATGCCTGAAGAACAAAGTGCACCTTTTTACAGCTGGTGTAAATTTCTTGTGCTGATATTTACAGTGGTGCTTGCAGCTCAGCTGCTAATGACTGCTGTGTAAGGCAGACATTCTGCACGCTCGAATACAGAGCAACATTGGGAAAAGCTGCACAGGCCACTAAGGCTTGCTGAAACACTTATCAGCACTCAGTGCCACAATGTATTTCAGTCTACTTGCCTTCTGCTGCCAAGCTTAAGGCTCCTCAAATGCAGTCACAATCTTTTATCACTCGTGATGTAACATCACAGTGAATGAGCTCTGGAGGTAAGAACTGCAGACATCAATGCTATTGATATAGCTGTGAAGTAGATGCATTTCTTCTGCCTTTCTTCCCTTTTCTCATTATTCAAAATAATTAGTATTAACAATATTCAGGAAAAATCACTATCATTAGTGACACTAGTTAAGAAGAGTCTGTATGCTTAAAAGCTTATTATGATTTGGGGCTGTATTTTAAGCTACAAAGCAGTTGCGTAAATGAAACATATTACTTCTTCCTCTAAACCTTGTAGCATGTTATCGTAGGCATACAATTGAATCTAATGTGATGTAACATTACATAGTTTATCTGGAAAATATCTCTTAGATATTCTGGGCTATGTATATACCTTTCATCCAGAAAAGCAACAGCAGCATTTAGTTCAGAGAGATAGAAAATATAGTTATTACAGTCCTGTTGATTGTTTGCTTTCCTAGGAGGCCTAGGTCAACTTAACAAAACAAGGTAAAAAAAAACACAATTCTAATATACAACAGTTTCCTGTAACACCTGGTATAAATACAGATGTAGGGGGCTGGTAACTGGAACTTTTGAAAGATGGAAAGTGTTGAGCATTTTACTGTCTTACTCTTTGTATAGTCTTAAATAAATATATATGTATTTGGGGTGGTGGTGGTTGTTGTAATTTTGTCTTGTCTTTCAAATACAGTTTTGTCTTCCATTTTTCAAACTAGCATTCTCTTTCAAATCTTGCTTTATATTTTACTTGGTAATGAGTAAAAAATTATGCTAAAGATTCAGTCCCCCAAACCACTGACTTGGACCTCCAAGCCAGTTTCTTCTCTCCCATGCAGACTGCTGCTCTGCTCATCAGTGTACTCCAACCACTGTCTGACAATCCATGTTCTACATAGACAAAAAAGCACAAGCACTTCCTAACCCTTCTATAAGTGCAAATAAATATCTACCGCTGCTTGCAATTAATTATTTTTAGTGAAACATTTCAAAGCTCACCATTATTGTGTTAGGCACTATATTATGTAAATATACATAGAATATGGATATTTACTATACAAATTAAGTGGCAGGTTTTAATGCCCCTGCCACTAAAACAAACTATTAAAATCTGTAGAGAAACATGTTCCAGAAAACATTCCTTTAAAGCGTGACTGCTGTTGTTAGCTTTGTTGGGTAGGAACAACATTCTCCTTATGTGAATGTCTGGCAGTACAGCACAGATCTATAGGTGGTACTACTGGAAAATAACAAAAAAACTCAAACAAGGATAAAGCAAACAATCATGAAATGATAACATGAAAGAAATGGATGCCAACAGAACAGCACACGAACGAGCACTGGCGTGGGCGATGCTATTTCCACAAACTCAGCTTGCACGCTGCAGAAGTGGTGTGGTAACAGCACCAGTGGGCTACAGGGCTCTTAGGGGAGGATTGCCCATGCCACCAGGCAGGAGCAGCAGCATTTCTCATCCAGGTTGAGAATGCAATGGTAAAGGTTGTTCTAAAGGGGGGCTCAGCACTTGGTCACCCTTCACTCAAAGCCAGAGTCAAAAAGGTCACAAAGAAGCTATGCAGAGAGCAGAGATCTCAGAGTTTTCCCTTTTGGGGTTTCCTTTGTAGGCAAGGTTAGCCACCCAGGTTCTTTGTTTCTGTACTTGTACACATTCACTTATCTGTTTCACTGGAGCGCACAGGGCAAAACATTTATATTTGTCAATGCTTTTGATGTTAAAAAAAAAAAAAAACCAAAAAAAAAAACCACAGCATTATAATCAAAACGTGTGGCAGGAAAATAAAACATGCTAAAAACATCATATTCTTCAAAGCTAAAAACTTTAAATATCAGAATTGCAAAAATAAAAGCACAGATTTTGTGGTTGCACAGCATGGAGAAACAAATCCTGCTCACAGCTACACAAATGAACTACTGACTGTCATACAGGACACGTGAGTACCATGATGCATTTTCTCTCCCCTTCGTAGGTGCCGACAACACTATACTCCTCTATTATGGAATTAGGAAAAAAAAAACAATACTACCATTCATAAATCCTAAAAATTCTTATTTAAAAAAAAATAAATGTAGGCTTCTCTACTTTGTACCCTTAATTTTCCTGCAGCATGGAAAAAACCCTGATAGCATTACATACAGAAGTTCTGGTTTCTCCCTCTGTCTTCAGACTAACTTCTCCAGCACTGAACTGATTAAACCCTACAGATGTGATTGCATCCTCACACTCATTAATCACCACCACGGAATCCTAATCAACAGCCAAAGAACTAACCAGCATCCTCAGATTGTTAGTACTTAATTGTCAAAGCCACAATTGTAATTATTGGTTTACTTTTTTTTAAGGCTGAGATTTAAAATTACAAATTTCATTTACTTGGGCTAAATTTCTACTTTTCTTTTGAAATAAACACTTAAAATCAAAGCTACAGCTCATCTAGTCTCTTCCTGTAGAACCATTTTCAGTTTCCAACAGATTTTCTATTCCACTGAGATATTTCAAGTCTGACTTACCCTATTCAATTCAAATGCA